TATGATGGATGCGATGTCACAGAGGAGGATGTGATATCAAAGAGGAGAATGTGATGTCACAGAGGAGGAAGTAATATCACAGAGGCGGATGTGATGTCAAGGAGAGATATGATGTCATACGGTGGATGTGATGTCACAGAAGGGGGTGCAATGTCACAGGGGAGATATGAAATCATGTGATGGATGTGATGTGACCGAGGAGGATAAGATGTCACAGAGGAGGATTTGATGTCAGAGGAGACATTTGATGTCATATGATTGATGTGATTTCACAGAGGAGGATGTGGCGTCGCAGGAAGGATGTGATGTCACAGTAGAGACGTGATGTCACATGGGAGAATGTGATCTCACAGGAATGATGTGATGTCACACAGGAGGATGTGATGCCATATGATGGATGTGATGTCACAGAGGAGAACGTAATGACACAGAAGAGGATGTGATGTCACAGGGAGGGTGTGATGTCACAAAGGAGGATGTGATGTCATGTCACAAAAGAAGAATTTATGTCATAGAGGAGGATGTGATGTCACAGGAAGGATGTGTTGTCACAGGAGACATGTGATGTCATATGATGGATGTGATGTCACAGATGAGGATGTGACGTGACTGGAAGGATGTGATGTCGCAGTAGAGACGTGATGTTACAGGGGAGAATGTGATCTCACAGGAATGATGTGATGTCACAGAGAAGGGTGCGAGGTCATATGATGGATGTGATGTGACAGAGGAGGACGTGATGTCACAGGAAAAATGTGAAGTCATATGACGGATGTGATGTCACAATGCTGGATGTGATTTCTCAGCAAGGAATATGATTTCATATGATGGATGTGATGTCACAGAAGAGGAGGTGATATCACAGGAAGGATGTGACATCATAGAGGAGGATGTGATGTCACAGGGACGATAGGATGTCACAGGAAAGATGTCATGTCGCAAAAGAGGGTTTTATGTCACAGAGGAGGATGTGATGTCACAGGAGACATAGAATATCACAGAGCAGGATGCGATGTGACAGGAAATATGTGATGTGACAGAGGAGGATGTCATGTCACAGGAAGGATGTGATGTCGTGATGGATGCCACGTAATATAGGAGAACGTGATGTCACAGGGAGGATGTGATGTCATAGGAGACATGTTATGTTATATGATGGATGTGATATCACAGAGGAGTATGTGATGTCACAGAGGAGGATATAATATCACAGAGGCGGATGTGATGTCAAGGAGAGATATGTTGTCATATGATGGATGCGATGTCACAGGAAGGATTTGAGGTCACAGGCGAGATATGATGTCATGTGATGGATGTGATGTCACAGGAAGGATGTTATGTCACCGAGGAGGATGTGATGTCATAGGAGGGATATAATATTATTTGATGGATGTGATGTCACAGAGGAGGATGTGTTGTCACAGGAAGGATGCGATGTCACAGACGACGACCTACACATTCACCTTGCCCTTATTTCCAGCAAGTTTTAACTCTTTGCCATCCTTTTCCAGAGGGATCAGACAGAGTCTGACCCCTTGGGGATCCTGTAATCCTTGTTTCTGCTCCACTCTCCACCTAAGACTCTCTGGACTATTAATGCCGTGTTTGCTAAGCTTGTTGTTAAAGGTAGAGGACGTCTGCAGGAGATGGATGGACGAGACCCCGAGACCATCTACATTCCAGCAACCAAACACAACTTGGACTGGTTTCTCGCAGAGGAGGCTGGATTTCAGGCTGCCTTGGCAGAAATGTCAACCACTACAATGGTGACATTTCCATTCACTTTCCAAAGCACAGACTCTGGGTACAAATGGGGAATTCACCTCTAACGGCCACGCGTCGCTGCCGGCCACAACCTGTCTCAGGCATCACTGTTTTTACTGACGTGTCTGGACGCAGAGATACGGACTACATGGTCCCTTGGCAACCACAGAAAATTGGACTTTTACATAATGCATGCCCGTTCCCACACAGAACTACCAGGACCCAGAGCGGAGGGCAATCAAAGAGCAGATGCTGTCGCTGTGATTGCTGCAGTTCCCCAAACTCTCGAGCAGGTCAAACTCTCCCACCTATCCTTTCAGCAAAATGCACGCTCATTAAAGAGCCAGTTCCAACTCACAGTGAATCAAGCTCGAGATATCACCATGTCATGTCCTGACTGGCAGCAAATTGCCCCAGTGCCATCTAAGGAAGGGGTTGATCCCCGAGGCACAACAGTCAATGAAATTTGGCAAACGGACGTTACTCATAGAGCTGAACTCGGTCGGCTAAAGTATGTCCATGTCACAGCAGACACACATCCTAAATACATAAATGCCACTGCACACCCTGGGGAAAAGGCAAGGGATGTTATCAGACACTGGTTTAGTTGCTTTGCAACTTTGGGAATTCCAAAAACCATAAAGACAGACAATGCTCCTGCCTATTGTTCTTCAAAGGTCAAAACATTTCTCACGGGTTGGGGGATATTTCATTCCACAGGCAGACCACACTCACCCACGGGACAAGCTATGGTGGAGAGAGCACACTGCACAGTGAAGGGAATGCTGCAAAAACAGAAAAGGGGGGAATCTATCTATAGTCCCAGGAACACCTGTGGAAAGTGTCACATGTCCTAAATTTCTTAAATTGTGATGACACAGATCCCATAATAAAAGGCTTAAGTGTACATGAGTGAGAAGAGACTGAGAAGGTGGCCACCTACGTATGAATGAGAAGAGTTGTGTGGACGTACGTATGCGAGTGAATTTATTTATGCCAGAGATGCCTTAAATAAAATACACTCATACAACAACACTACCTCAACCCCAGCAAATACAATTGAACACAACATCCATAACCTGACACACTTCCCCTTGACATAAAATTGATGCTTCTCACCCAGTTACACAAATACCCTCAGATAAAAAGTCTTACACAAACCATATTTACAAACCCTGAATAATTGAAAGTTACACAGTTAATAAGGTTGTGAAAGTTGCACAGCTAATAAGGTTATGACCAGTTTTAATAAAGGCCTTACCACATTAGGCCCTGTTTTTTATAAATGGTTAAGATATGTAGTTTATGTTAAGAAATATTTACGAAAAAGATTTAAAAATTGTTCTGTAATTCGTTATAATAAAGTGGAAATGTAGCGATTTATATTACAGGAAGTGCCGCAAGGCATTCTGGGACTTGTAGTTCCTTCGGTACTCTGTTGCACATGCGCAAGGGAGCACTCGAATGTCATTGGCTGAGAGGTCACGTTATGACGTGTCACAGTTTGGACTGTCTATGTCAGCTCATGTTGTTCTTAATAAATTTGATTCAGCTGCACACCTTGTGTGTAACTGGGTCTGTGCCCACACAAATAACACATGGGACTATCCTGCCACAGTCCACCAGCCAGGGGGCTTCCCAACCTGGGTCACCGGGAATGTGGGTCACCAGGTCTGTTCCCAACATGTGTCACCGGGAATGTGGGTCACCAAATCTGTTCCCAACGTGGGTCACTGGGAATGTGGGTCACCTGTTCCCAAGATGGGTCCTCTGACAGGTGATGGAGTTGGAGCAGCGGATGAAGCTCCTCCCACAGTCGGGGCACTCGCAGGGCTTCCCTTACTGGTGAGTTCGTTGGTGTTTGGTCAAGGCACAGCTCCAGGTGAAGCTCTTCCCACACTCCTCACACTTGTAGGGCCTCTCCCCAGTGTGGATGCGCCGGTGTCTGACGAGGTTGGAGCTGCAATTGAAGCCCTTCCCGCAGTCGGTGCAGCGGAAGGGCCTCTCATCCGTGTGCGTCCGCTGGTGCTGGAGAAGATGTGAGCTGCTCTGAAACCTCTTCCCACACTCCCCACACTCGTAGGGCTTCTCCCCCGTGTGCATGCGTTGGTGGGTGACGAGTTCAAAATTCCATGTGAAGCTTTTCTTGCATTCCCCACATTTGTAGGGCCGGGGCCTCCGTTCCCCAGTGTGGATCTGCTGGTGGCAGATCAGGCGAGAGCTGACGGCGAAGCCCTTCCCGCATTCCAAGCACTTGTAGGGCCGTTCCCCCGTGTGCATCCGGCGGTGGGTGAGGAGGTGGGAGCTATAGAGGAAGGTCTTCCCACATTCCTCACACTCGTAGGGCCGTTCCCCAGTGTGGACACGCTGGTGAACAAGGAGGTTGCAGCTCCAGTTGAAGCTCTTCCCACAGCTGGGGCACTTGTAGGGCTTCTCCACGGCACTGACGCGCTCCTGCACCACCAGCTCGGAGCTCCGGCTCAAGCTCCGGCCGCCTTCCCGGCACAGGCTGCCTCTTTCCTCCTCAGAGCACCCTGGGCTGGCTTTGGAGCCCCTCCTCCGGGGGGATCTCCGGGGCTTTTCCTCCCCACTGCCTTCCTGTGCCGTGGAGCCCTTCAAAACGGCCTCTCCCACCAGGGTCTGCCGGGGGGATTTGTCCTCCGTGCTCTCCGTCCTCAGCTCGGGGCCTGGGGCAGGAAGGAAGGACAGGGAGGGGATTTGCCTCCGGCCCAGAGGGAAGGGGGAGGAGAAGGAAGACGGAGAGGAAGGAAGGTAGAGAAGGAAGAAGGGGAGGAAGGAATATGAAGGGAAAGAACAAGAAGAAAAAGAAACATGGAGAGGAAGGAAGAAGAAGGAAGGAGGAAGAAGGAAGGAAGGAGAAGGCCCAGAACTGGACACAGCACTCGAGGTGTGGCCTCACCAGTGCCGAATACAGGGGAAGAACCACTGCCCTGGTCCTGCTGGCCACGCTGGTCCTGAGAGAAGGAAGGAGCAAGGAGACAAGGAATGATGAAAAGGAAGGAGAAGATGGAAAACAAAGAAAAAGGAGAGAAAAGAAGGAGAAGGAAGAAGGAGAGAAAGGAAAAAACATAAGGAGGAAGGAGAGGGAGGAACAAGGAGAAGGAAGAAGGAAGGAAAAGGAACAAGGAGTGGAAGGAAGAAGGACAGGGAGGGGATTTGCCTCCGGCCCAGAGGGAAGGCCAAGGACATCCCCCCAACTCCGGCCCCGGCAGGACGGCGGCGGCAGCGGGGTTGTCCTGCAGCCGGGGGCGATGCTCGGCTGGGAGATACAGGACAAGACAGGGCAAAGGGGCACTGACTTCCTCCTCACCTGCCCGGGGGGCCCGCGGCATCTTCCTCTTCCTCGCAGCCTCCTTCATCTGGCCAAGCTTTGGGAAGGAGAAATCCTGCTGTGGGGGGAAAAACAAGGGGGGAGCGCGTTGGGTTGGGGGCTCCTCTTGCCCAAGTCCATCTCTCAAAGTCACTGAGCACCTCGTGTCCATAAAAACCTCCTAAACACCAAGTTTCAGCCCAAACCCCCCCCCCAGAACTCCAAGGTTCAGACCAAATAAACCCTTCCAGGAGTTCCCCCTCTCAGGTCTCTCCACTTTGGGGTTCTGGGGGTCCCCCCTCTTTGGGCTGCTGGGGGTCCCACATGTATTGGGGGTCCCCCACTCCAGGGTCCCGCCCTCTCTGGGCTGCTGGGGGTCCCAGGAATCCCAGGGGTCTTCCCACTTTGGGATTCTGGGGGACCCCCTTCTCTGGGCTGCTCAAGGTCCTGCAGTTCCCCCCTCTCCACGGTCCCCCTGCTTAGGGATGAGGGGGGTTTTGGAGGCCCCAGGGGTCCCTTCTCCCCTGACTCTTTGCTTTGGGGTGCTGGGGCTCTCAGGGGTCCCACCTCTATGGGGTCTCCCCCTCTCCAGGCTGTTGTGGGCCCCAGAAATCCCAGGGGTCCCCCTTCTCTGGGCTCCCCTCTCTCTGGGGTCCCCCTGGCTGGGCTGACGGGGGTCCCAGCACTCCCCCTTCTCCGGGCTCCCCACTTCAGGGTCCCAGGGCTCCCAAGGGTACCCCCTCTCCAGGCCCCCAGTTCAGGGTTCCTGCACTCCCAACCCTCCCCTCTCTGCAGGTTCCCCCCCTCCTTCCAGGCTGACGGGGGTCCCGCAGTGCCGGGATCGCCCCTCTCCGCTCTCCCCACTCCGGGGGTCTCAGCAGCCCCCAACGCCTCTTCCTCCTCCTCTTCCTGCTCCTCCGGGCCTGGGGCCCCCCTGCCTGGCCAGTCCCAGGTTTCCAGACCCCACACCCCTCTCTCTTTGACTCCAGGACCCCCCTGACCCCACTTTCCTCACCATCCCACCTCTCCCAGTACCTCCATCCCCATGTTTCCTTCACCCTGAGGACCCCTTGACCCCACTCCTGGCCATCCCACCTCACCTCACCCCAGACCCCCTTTCCCTTGACCCCAGGACCCCCTGGAGCCCCTTCTCAGTTCTCACAGCTCTCCTCGTTTCTACCTTTCCTTGACCCTGGGACCACCCTGACCCCCAAATCTCCCTGTCTCCCCAGTTCCCCACTCCTGCCTTATCCTGCAGGGTGCTCCTGCAGTGGCCCAGGGACCCCCTGAATGCCTCATTCCTTGACACCAGATCCCCCCTGCACCCCCTTATCAAGACCACCACCCCCTGCACCCACTTCCCTGGATACAGAACACCCTGCACCCCCTTTCCCGGCCATCCCGCCTCTCCCAGACTCCCTTTTCCTTTACCCTGGCACTCCCTGGACCCCCATTCCTGCCCATCAGGACCCCCCTGCACCTCCTCTCCACCACTGGGGCTCTCACCCCCTTCCTCAGCTCCAGGAAGCCCCTGCAACCCCTTTCCAGCCATCCCACCTCTCCAAGTCCCCACACCCTCCCTTCTCCTTCACCCTGCCACCCCCTCCACCCCCACTCCTGCCTTTCCCACTCCCCAACCCCTCCTTTCCTCAACACCCGGCACCCCCTGAACTGCCCTTCCTGCACATCCCGGCTCTCCCCACCCACTGAACCCCCTTTCCCTCACACTCCAGGCCCCTGCACCCTCCTTTCCTGGACACAAGGACCCCAGAGACCCCCTGGGCCTCCTCTCCCACTCTCTACATCCCCCCTTTTGCCTTTACTCTGGGACACCCCGAAACCCCCATTCCTGCCCACAGGAACCCCCTGGCACCCCCTTATTCTGCACTAAGACCCCCCTGCAACCTCCTTTCCCGCCCAGCCCGCCTCTCCCAGCCCCCAGGCCCTGCTTTTCCCTCACGCTGCTACCCCTGCACCCCCAGTCCTGCCTTTGACACAACCCACAAGCCCCTTTTCTTTGGAACACGGGGGGACCCCCTGAACCCCGTTTTCTGGCCATTCTCCCAACCCCCAGCACCTCCCTTTCCCCCACACCGACGACCCCTGGGCAGGGGATCTCCCTGCACCCCCCATCCCACCTCTCCACATCCCCGCACTCCCCTTTCCTCGGCCCCCACATCCCCCAAAACCCCCTTCCCCAGCACTCTGACCCCCGACAGACCCAACAGTCACCCCAAAAAACACTCCCAGCCTTCCCCCCTCTCCCATCTCCCCACTTTGGGGGGCGGGAATTGGGCAACTCCCGGCACTGTTGGCGACAATCAAAGAGTTCCTGACGCGTGTCCGGGGCCTTTGTTCGGCCCGCCGGGAATTCCCAACAAACATCCCGGCCCCCATCAGCCGCTGGGGCCCGGGGGTCCCTCCTCTCCAGGGATCGAGCTCTGGGGACACCAAGGGACCCCCCCGGGAACCCCTTGCCCGCTCTCCCACCTCCCCTTCTGCCCCTCTGCCACCCTTTGCCCGTCGCCCCCCCGCTGCTTTGGCACTGACCCACCCCCTCTCTCGCTCACTTTGGGGCTCCCACCCCCTCTTTTCCTTCCCCTCTCCCCCTTTGCCATCGGGGCCCCCCCAACTCACCGGCGAGCTCCTGGCTCGGGGATGGAACGGGGGCAGGAGGAGCGGGAAGAGGCAAAGGAGGAGGAAGAGGAGGAGCGGGAAGAGGCAAAGGAGGAGGAAGAGGAGGAGCATCGCCCCCCTGAGCGGGCGGGGAGGGGGAGCTCGGCTGCGATGGTTTGGGGGGTGTGCGGGGTGTTTTTGGTGGGGGGATGTTTGGAGCTGAGCCGCAAATGGCCCTCGGGGGGACATCGGGGGGTCCCCGGGAGGTGGTTTGGTTTTGTTGGGGGGGATCCCGGGGTGGGTTCCCGGCAGAGGCGGGAGGTGGGCGGGGGGCTGCGGGGACCCCCCCGCGGTGGGGGTCGGTGTTGCGGGGTCAGGCCCCGCCGCCCCCATTGTCAGCCCGGTGCCGGCGGGGGGGGACGCGACGACCCCCTTGTAATAGGTGATTAAAGTTAAGTAAATAATTTGTTCATCAAACAAATTTAAAATTAATAATGTTTGCAATAAAGTACTATAGCAGAAATAAGAGTAAACGAGTTGCTAAGCTTAAGCTGACCTTTTTGCTAAAGCAGAGTGTTAAGCTGACATTTCATTAGGAATATTAAGTGCTAAACTACAGAAATGTTAAACCGCAAGCTTATATCCTGTTAGACTGGCAGTAGGTAATGTCAAACCACAAAAGCTATGTTGCTATGGTTATAAGGCAAGTAAGATATCCTGTTACTCTAAAGTGACTGTTTAAGCGTGCTTGCAGAGGGTGGAACAGCAAAAGGCCAGCCACAAAAACTGTGAAAGGGAAACCACCATCAGCTTTGGAAAGTCCCAATATGGCTGACTTTAAGACTATAATCTAACGGAATTAGTGGTTAACCTCCCTCAGCAACAGAGCAACAGCCCACAAAGCCCCCGTGTCCTGGGCTCATCCCACAGCGTGGGCAGCAGGGGAGGGGGGTTCTGCCCCTCTGCTCCGCTCAGCTGGGCAGAGCTGGAGGCAGCACTGCAGGTGGGGTCTCACCTGAGGGCAGCAGAGGGGCAGATTCCCCTCCTCCCCTGCCCCCGGGATGAGCCCCGGACACGGGGGGTTTCCGGGCTGGCTCGTGTCCCATTTGTCACCCACCAGCACCCCCAGAGCCCTCTCCCAGCAGGGACTTCCATCCCTTCCTCCCCCAGCCTGCATTGATCCTGGGAGTTGCCCTGACCACCTGGTGGGGGGAATTCCAGTGCCCTTTTTCGGGGACTGACACGTCAGAGCAAAAGGTAAAGCCCCTCAGTGGATATTTCCAAGAGTTACTCCGGCATCAACAAAACTGGCAGCACCTTTATAAAGGACTCCCTCCAACAGTCTGAGGAATAACGCTCTTTATTAATACAAACTGGCACAGGTGTAGGTTCGTGGTGGTCAGGGACAGGGTCTGGCTGCAAAAACACACTTCAAACAATGTGAAAATTGTTGTTAAAGTAAAGCAAAGCACAAACTCTAAACCAAACCAATCCATAGGCACCACCTGTTCCCTGCTGGCTGAGGGCTCCCAGTGCTCCCAGTCCCTCCCAGTCCTTCCCAATCCATCTCTTATCACAGTAACCCCCTCCCAGTCCCTGCTAGCCCCCCCCCAGTGCTCCCAGTGACCCCATTATCCCCTCCCAGTTGATGTGTCTCCACTTGGTCACCGCTTTGGCTGCGGTTGCCGGCACCGTCTGTTCCCTGCTCCCCGTCCCACCAGTCCCTCCCAGTCCTTCCCAATCCATCTCTTATCCCTGTAACCCCCTCCCAGCCTCCCCAGTCCCTCCCAGTTCTCCCACTCCCCTCCCAGTGTCTCCCAGTCCCTCCAGTGCCTCCCATTCCTTTCTCTTCCTAGTCCCTTCTGCTTCCCTCCAACTCCTTCCCAGTCCCTCCCACTTCCTCCAGTGTCCCTCATTCCCCTCCCAGTCCCTCCCAGTGCTCCCAGTTACCCTGTTTCTCCATCCCAGGCGATGTGTCTCCAGCTGGTGATGGGAATGGGATCTACAATTCCCGGCTTGGGATCCCAAAATCCTCCCTGAATCCCACCCCAAAACCCCCCGTTCCCAACCTCCTGGATCCCAGTGTTCCTCTGGGTTTATCTGGGATCATCCCAGTTTTCCCATGGGATCATCCCAGTGTTCCCATGGGATCATCCCCTTGGGAATGGGATCCACGATTTCCGGCTTGGGATCCCAAAATCCTCTCTGATTCCCACCCCAAAACCCCCCATTCCTGACCCCCTGGATCTTGGTGTTCCCCTGGGATCATTTTGGATCATCCCAGTATTCCTGTGGGATCATCCCATTGTTCCCAAGGGATCATCCCCTTGGGAATGGGATCCACAATTCCCCAAATTGTCCCTGAATCCCACCCTAAACCCCCTCATTCCTGACCCCCTGGATCCTGGTGTTCCCGTGGGATCATCTGGGATCATCCCAGTATTCCCATGGGATCATCCCCGTGGGAACAGGATACACAATTCCCAAATTGAGACCCCAAAATCCTCTCTGATTCCCATCCCAAAAACCTCCTTCTGGCCTCTTTTTCCATGCCATATCCCAATTTTCCCATGGGATCATCCCCTCGGGAACGGGATCCACAATTCCCAACCTTCCCCTTCCCTCCCCCCCCAATTTGGGACCAAAAGCGCGGTCTCACCCCCCTCCCAAAATCCAGGATGTGGGGTCTGGGTCGCCCCAAGAGGTTGGAGTGGGATCCACACGTGCAGATCGCGGAATTCCGGGAGAATTTTGGGAATTTTGGGGGTGTTTTTTTTTAATATTGTTATTCCGGGTTGTAGCAAACCATGCAGTTGGTGGATTAAAATGGAAACATTTAGACGAGCCCAGAGGGTGAAATCCAGGACTTGGCGATGCCACGAGGGGATTCAGGTGTTTATGGGAGGGGAAAAATCAGGGACAAGGGGGGGGGGGAACGGGAAAAGCCGAAAAACTTCGGCTGGAGGACTGACCATCGAGTTGGTGCGGGCAGAGCGGCGCGGCGTGCGCGCCTCCGTCTCGGTGGTCACTTCCGGCGCCGCCATGTTGGGGAGGTCGGCGGGGCGACTGGCGGGGGTCGTGGCGCTGGTCACGGGTGGGTTTTGGGGGGGATTTTGGGAAGTTTTGGGGTTTTTTGGGGGCGGGAGGGAAGGGGAGACCCTCAGGGGAGGAGTGGGGGGGGAATTAGGGCGGGGAGACCCCCGGGAGGGACGCTGGGAGGGGTTAAAGGTGATACTGGTGATACTAGAAGGGTCACTGGTGATACTGGGGGGGGGTCACTGGTCACCACACCCACCGAGACCACGCCCACCCCTCCCCTCCCTTAAATCTCTTCTAAAATTACAAAAATAAACATTTATGACCCAAAATTTGGGGGTTTTTTTGGAGTGGAGACCTCAAATTTTTGGGGTGGGGGGTTGGGAAGGGTCCCTAAAATCCGAGGGGCGGGGTCAGATGTGGCCCCGCCCTCATTGACCCTCCTGCCCCTAAAACCTCCTCTAAAACGACAAAAAGAAACATTTTGGATCTCAAATTTTGGAATTTTTTGAGACAAACCCCCCTCCAATTTTTGAGAGGTGTCCCCAAAATTCGGAGGGGGTGGGGTCAAGAGGGGGCGGAGCCAAATCTTCCATCTTTTCTGCCTTAAACCTTCTCTAAAACGACAAAAATAAACCTTCTGGATCCCAAATTTTGGAGTTTCTGGAGGCAAAACGCCCCAGAATTACCCCTAATTAGCACATAATGCCCGGGGTTCATGTTAATAATTAATTAGCCCATAATAGTTGCGGGTAAATCATTAACCCCTAATTAATCCATAATATCTGTGGGTTCCCATCAATCTCTAATTAATCCATAATATCCCTGGGTTCCCATCAATCCCTAATTAATCCATAATATCCATGGGTTCCCATCAATCCCAAATGATCCTAAATCCCAAATGGTCCCAAACAGTCCCAAATTATTCCAAATAGTCCCAAATAATCCCAAATCCCAAATGGTTTCCAAACTCAAATCCCAAATCACATGTGGTTCCAAATCCCAAATAAACCCCAAATCCCAAGTAAACCCTAAATCACCAATGATTCCCAATCCCATGTAGTTCCAAATCCCAAATAATAGCAAATACCAGATGTTCCCAAATCCCAAATAACCCCTAAATCCCCAAAGAATTCCCAATCCCATATAATTCCAAATGCCAAATAAACCCCAAATCCCAAATAATAACAAATCCCATTGAGGTGGTTTGAAGCTGGCTCCCTGCTAAGTCTCCAAACCTCACCACAAGAGCTCCCCCCTCCCCCAAAACCAAGGGAGAAGAGAAAAAACCAAGAGAACCGAAATGAGAGAAGCAGCTAAAGCAATATATATAAAAATATATTTACACTTATATTACAGTTATATACAATTAAAATATATGTACAATTTCACAAGGAAAAAGGAAAGGGAAGGGGGAAGTGAAAAAAGAAACAAAACCAAAATGAAATATATATATCCCGATCAATAGCCCAAGATCTAACAACTGAAAGAATTAGCAAAAGAATATCTTACTACTCTCCTTGGGACAACGGAGAGTCACGCTGGAGCGACTACCAGCAGCCTCCGCCTGCCAAGGTCGACAAGGCCTCACCAGGCCTCACTGTCCAACCTGACAGACTCAACAGCAGGGAACCCACACCTCCAAAGTCACCGGAAGGAAAGAGAGAAAGGCCTCTCCTCCTTTCTTCTTATACCCCGGCTTACGTAAAAATCGTAGGGAATACCAGGTAAATCTGGGCACTTCCTTGGTTACAAACTGGTCACCAAGGAAGGCCCAGACTAAACTACCACAGACACTTCATGACCCCATGTCACCAAGGGGACCCTGTGACACTGGGGCACCTCGTGGTTATCAGTCTCTTCCAAATGTTTGCAACTACAGAGGCAAAACAGTGGAGCCTGAACATGTTGATCCAAACTATTTCCATCTCGCCTGAAGATGTCCCTGCTAACAGAGGTCCTGTGTGTTCCCTCTGCTC